TGTCTTGGTGACTGGGGGGGGGGGCACTTCGTACTCCTGCCAAGCTGCCTTTGCATTCAGTGAACACAGAACCGCCCCCCCCGAAGACAGGCACCCAGGTGGAGGAGGGGCAGTTCCTGGGGTGGGGGGTGGGGGTGGCAGTCAAAAAGGGCAACCTCTGGGCATCGCCAACTCCTTGGCGACAGATGCCCGAGCCCAGGAGAGCTTGAGGAAGGGGCTCCGAGGGGTTTCCCTCCCCATCTTCGAAGAGAGGAGCTTGATTTGGAAACTGAATGGTGAGCTCCTGCCGCCCCCCCCCCCCACCAAACCCCCGTCCTGCCCCCTTTCTGCTCCTGGGGGGGAGCCAGGCCCCCCGGAGAGGGCTGTGCCCCACAGCCTGGCCAGGTGTGGGGGGCTTCCTGGCTGGCCTGGGAGATGCCGGTCCAGAAAGCCGTAATTCCCTTGTATCGCAAGGGAGGATCAATTTCCGTCTTAAAAAGGACCCCGGAGGGGGGGGAAACCAAGCCTTTTCGGGCCCTCTCCGAGGGGGGGCGGCAATTTATGCGCAGGGCAACGGACGTGGGGGGAGCCTTTTGTGCTCTCAACCCGAGGGCAGTGCAGCACCCTCCAGCCTGGCTGCACGGGCAGATGCCCTTTGGATCTTCTGGCTCCTGCGATGCTTCCAGGGTGAAGAACAAGGAGGACGACTGAGAGCGGCCTTCAACCCCGAGACCGAGGAGGTTTCGGCACCGAACCTGGGAAGGGAGGCAGGCAACCCTTTTGTGAACGTGCCAGGGGAGGGAGGAGGAAACTTTGGGTGCCAGGAAAAGAAAAAAGAAAGATTCCCCCCTCCTCTTTCAAACCCACCCAACCTGGAGCACCACAGACGGTGACAACTCCGCTCAGGAATGCCCCTCGGCCAGCCACAAAAATGCCAAGCATTTCTGAATTCCTGCACTTGGAAGGCGGCTCACTCAGTTTCCCTGCGCTGGGCAGTTGCCTTGCCAAATATGCCGGGAATGCGCAGCCTCCTTTTCGGCTTATTCCCTTTTCCTCCTCCGAAGGACGGATCCGACGGGCAGCTCAAAATTTGGACCGTTCCCCAACAAGAGACAGATTCCTTGGGCGTCCAGTCACACGCAAGAACACCGTCTATTCTGCTCTGTCCTCCTCACCCTAGTTGGTTTTCTTTTCCTCTGATCGGCGTCTTGGCCTGGAGGCTCTTCGGGACAAAGATTTGGCCTCTCGATGCCTCAGAGCCTCAACAGACACGGGGCTCATGGGTGACTCTTCCACCTTGACGCCCGCACTCCCTGCCGCAGCAGCGCTCACACGGCCCTTCCATGCTGGACTGACCTTCCTCCTAATAAAGAATCCAGGAATTTGCTTAAAAACATCTACTTCTTCAAGGGCAGCCCAATGTAGTAGCCAAAAGGGGGAGCCACATGGACACAAACGAGGCATCGCTGCTTCCCTCAGCACCATTACACACGACGAACACGAATTTAACACAAATGCAACAAGCTTCAAGGCTCCCCACGGGGTGGACCCTGTTCTTCTCCTGCGCAAGGCAAGCTCCTTGCCCCAAGGATGCCCAACTGAAGTGGGGTGCACAACCTTTTAGAAAACAATCCCCCAAAGCACACGCAACGGACAGAACTGCTGCTGGGGGTTCACAAGAGCAGCGCAGGAAGGAGCGACTTGGTTCAAAATTTTATGTAGGCTCCATACAAAACAGCTTGGTGGGCCCGATAAAGAGGCTACATACAGTGTAACACCGAGAGCGCGCATTGTTTTGGCCAGTGCCCGTCTCCCTTTGGGTGGGCGAGCCCCTCTCCCAGGAGCCTCAGCTGCACCCAGATGTTTCAGTTGAGAGGCAGGCCCACTGGAAAAATGCAGCCTGGCTTTATTGTTCAGGGGTTAAATACGTTAAAGACGGGGGGGGGGCCCTCTGCAATTCCTAAAACCAGCGTCCGACTCCCTTAGCGAAACTTGGGAAATAAAAAGGAAGACCAATACGCACGTTACTAGTCCTCGCGGGTTCATCCAGTTGGAACTCGCAGCCCAAGGGCAGCCCCAGCAGACACCCTGTGGGGCCCCCCCCCCCCCAGGTCTAAATCCACCCCTTGTGCGCAGCAGTGAACGATTTAGACACGGACCAGGTCAGACACCCACAAAACAAAGTCTCCACAAAAACAAGAGGGAAAAACGGTTGTGTTTAATGCTGAGAAGTTGTGTTTGGTGCCCGCTGCTCCGGAGGAAAACGGGCGAGTGGGCACCGCATCGCTCCGAAGGCAGGATTACTCTAACTCCCGGTGGGGGTGCAGGAGGGGCTGCTTGTCCACAGTGTGCTGAACCGAGTACTTTTAGTGCAAAAGGGTCCTTGTGGGAGGAAGGCTCCTCCGTTTGTGACAGCGTCTCGTAACACCGGCAGAGACCCCGCGGCCCCCAACTCCGAGGGGGCGGCTTCCCGCCAGGGCCGAAGACTCCTCCCGCCTGTTTGCCCTCATGATACCAAAGTCCTTCACGCCAGTCAGAGAGGATAACAATAAATAGATCAATACTTCAGGATATGAGATAATACTGACTTGATCCCCCCGGTTGCCCGGGGCGAGGTCTTTTTTCTCCTGAGATGCAAGAAACGAAGGCCGGGGAAGGGGGGTGGGGGCACAGGGTACCCCAACATCGTACCACGGGGTGGGCTTGCCAAGAGGCTGCGGCCGAAGCGTTCGCTCTTCTCACGCAGCCCAGACTTTGGCAAGGGCTTGGCGGTGTCTCTGCAGCATGACCCCTCCACCTGTCCCCCCCAAATCCCCCCGCCCCCCACCCCCCCGTGCTTGGCTCACGGTCTTCCCAGCGAGACCCGGCAGGCGTTTAGCCTTCCTCTTCCCGCAGTTCGCTCGGGAGGAACTTGTACTGCTGCTGGCGGATCTGGGCCAGCTTCTTCCGGGCCTCCTCCAGTTCCCGCTCCTTCTTCAGCATCTCCTCCTGGGCTGCGATGATCTGGGGGAGCCGCAAGGCAAGGGCGGTGCTACCAAAGCTCCAGGTATGGAAAAGACCAATTCACACAACCCCCCCCCCCCCACGAGAAGCAGCTGGACGGGGAGGACTTCGGGTCCCGCTGCCCTCACCCGCTGCCCCTTCCCTCACCCCAGGCGGAGGAGGGGCGCCTTCCTTCCTGCAGGAGGAGGAGCTGCTCTCTGCCAGGTCCAGCGCCTGCCCAGGTGAGCGAACAGACTCAACCCCCCCCCCTCAACCCCAGAAGAAACGGGGGAGGGGGCCGCAGGGGAGCGGCTGTGCACGGAGGGAGCGGGCTCACCTGAGCAATGCCCCCCACAAACTTGGTCTTCACCACCACATCGTCGTCATCCGCCTTCCCAAAGGCCGCCTTCTGGGCCGCCCTGACCAGGTTGTCCGACGCCCGTTTCACGGCATTGCCTGCCACCTGTGGGCGGAGAGCAGACCCCCCTCAGCGGAAGGCCTGTCACTCAGACGCCGCGTAACCCGAAGGGCCGCATCTGCTTGTGAGGGGAGAGCCTGATTCAAGGGCCCCCCTCCCCCCCTCCGTTCGGGAAGCCCCCCCGCCCGCTCACCTGCAGCCTCCTCATGGCCTCGGAGTCCTGGTCCGCCTTCACTTTGCAAGCCACCAGCAGCTGAGCTGTGGAAGCGGCCACTTGCTTGGCCGAGGAGATGAGCTTCTCCTCGCTGGCGTGGCCTTGGACCGAGGCGTTGGCCGCCTCGCAGAGGTTGCTGGTGGCGGCTGCCACCATCCGGGCCTGTGGAGGACACCCAAAGAGGCCCCAGCTGAGCCTGGAGCTGGGCCGCGGGTCCCTCCGATCCGGTCAACGGAGGACTGGGACTCCCTCCTGATTTTTCGGTTCAACTCTTCGTGGAGGTTTTTTTTATCCAGATTTCTCGGGGGGGGGGCCACCCCACCCCCAAGGGGACCCCTCCAAGCCCAAGCAGTTGAGGGGGGGGGGAATCTTCCAGAATGAATGAAGATCTCGGAAGAGACTCACCGCAGAAACCAGCCCCTGAGACCACTGACCATCATCGGCGGCGTTGGCAGGAATGGCCCCCACCTGCAGGCCCAAATTGAAAAAGGCCTTCAAAGCATTTCAAAGCGGGGGGGGGGGGGTAACGTTCTAAAATGCAATTATTTGGGGAGTAAAACGGAAAGGCGGGTGGTTTTGTTTTGCTTTCTCAAGCCTCCTGCCGCTTGGAAGTTGGGTGGAAGTCAACCGTTCCGGCATTCCCCATTCTGGGCGTTGAAATCCACCCGTTGTCAAGTTGCCAAGGTCGAGACGCTGCTCTGAAGAACCCTTTGTCTTCGGGAGAGTATTGAACCGCCCACTGGGGCACTGCCCAACCCTCAAAGCCAGGGGTCTCCAACCGTGGCGACTTTAACCCTGGAGGACTTCAATTCCCAGAATTCCCCAGCCAGCAAAGCTCAAAGCCACTCCCGTGCTTCCTTGTTTTCTCCCTCTGGGTTTGCTCTGGGTTTGGGTTTTCCAGTCACATTAAGCTGCAAACGCAGACCTGCCTTTGGATCGTCCCCGTTTCAGGAAGCCAGCCAGCCGGCCGGGATGTTTTACCATTACAGCTGAGAAAGTCACGAAGTAGAAATATACGCGGCCAGGATTTGCTGGGCAGAAAAGGTGCGATAGGAAATGCTCAGAAGGCCTGGGGGGGGGGGGGGAACAGACGGAGAGAGGGGCCAAACAGGCCCAGGGAGCTCCCCAGCGGTGGGTTGGGGGTCTGGTCACCCACCTTGCCTTGGGCGACCAGCTCCCGCTGGGCAGCAGAGGCCGACTTGACCAGGGCGCTGGTGGCCGCGGCGATGGACTTGGCTGCTTCCAGAATCTGTTCTTCGAAGTCGAGGGTCTCGTCCGCCTGCTGCAATCAGAGGAGAAGCCACTGACCGCCTGGCCCCGCTCTGCCCCCCCCCCTTTGTGCAGGCCCGGCGGGCCCCCCCCCCCCCCCCCTACGGAGGTCCAGCCGGTTGGAAGGTTGGAACGCAGAAGCAGAGAAACCAGAGGCCAACAGATGAAAACTAGGCCAAGAGCCGGCTGGGGTCCTTGCATGGCTCCCTCCCTCCCTCCTGTGCAACCTTTGTACCAGTCTGGGAGAGAGAGGGCGGGGGGGGTAGAAAACCCACCGGAAGACCCTGCAAAAATTCCTCAACCCCCCCTCTGCGGAATCTGTGACTGCCTCCTGCCGTGACGCCCGGAGACAAAGCGAGACACCGTAGGAATGTTTGATATATAGTTGGGCTAAATTACAACCTAATATATCAAACATATCACACAGAATCTCGCAGGACAGAAAAGGCACTCAGGTGGGGGTCAAGCGGAGGAGGGGAAGCCTGCTCAGTGGGGGGAGGCCCACCCTCCAGCGGCTGGAGCCCAGGGGGCCTGGGGGAAGGCCGCCTCCTCCTTCTCTGGCTGCCCCCAACAGCTCCTCGCCTGGAAGCCCCCAGGAGGTTTCCTGGCCTCTGGGATGGGCTCCCCAGGCGAGGAGGGGACGGTTTCTCCCCCCCCGACCCTCCCTCTCTCAAGGCCTTGGCAGCCTCCGGACCAACGCGGAGGAGCATCGGCTTCGCTTTCAACCGACCAGCGGAAGAGCTTCTCTGGGCAGCTTCCACGAGGGAGAGGAAGGGGCAGTGGGAGGTGGGCCAGGAGCCCCTCATGGGGGGCCTGTTCTGACCTGGCCAGTCTTGGGAAAGCAGCAGCCGTGGCCTGAGGGTGGTCCTCCCATGTGGCTAGGGGAGGCCTGAGGTGGCCGCCAGAAACAAGGCCCCGCGGACGTTTCCTCCCCACAGGCCTCTCTTGAGGGGCCAAGGTCTCCCCGCCTCAGCTGGGCCTCGGTGGGCGCAGACCCTGGCCAGGCCCCTCCCTCTTGGGGGTCCAAGAGACCCTCATCTCTCTCTCCCGCCAGCCCTTCAGGAGGGGGGAGCTTCTCCTTGGGGCCCTGCGTGCCTGCGTGCCTCCTTTCCCCAGGGGAGGGTCTCGGGGTCGCAGCCCCCGCTCTCCGCTCACCTTGGGCTTGGCCCTGGGCTTCAGCTGCTCCAGCTTCTTGGCGGCGGCTTCGATGGACGCAGCGGCTCCAAGTAATTCCGTCTCGGCAATCACGGTGGGGTCTTCGGGGTTGACCCATTCGGTACCTGGAGATTGCAGGGGACAATACCGGTTATTGCGGTCTGTTTTACAACAACCGTTGGATTTCCTCAGCCGGGAGACAGGCACCGCTTGTTTAGTAGCTTGTTTCACATCTTCTCGTGTGCCGCCTTGTTTATATCATGAAGTGTTGGACCTGATGATTCTTGACGAATGTTTCTTTTCTTTCATGTACACCGAGAGCATTTGCGCCAAGACAGATTCCTTGGGTGCCCAACCACACTTGGCCAACCAAGAACGCTACTCTATTCTATTGATTTGTTGTGTCACTGATACCTCTGGGCTTCTGTTTGCTACAATGTCCGCTCATTGACCATTTATAAGTAAAACAGGTCACCTTGGAGAGAGGCCCCCCCCCAGGCCACGGCCCTCCACCCAAACTCAACCCCTGAATGCCACCAACCCCAACCTGGCTTCTTGGGCTTCCCAACCTGGCTAGTGGGAGTGACCAGGGCAAGGAGGCCGGCCAAGGGACAGGCTGGGTAGCCCGTAGCAGGGATGTGGGCGGGCAAGAAGCCCAGAAGAGACCCTCCCTAGTTTTCTGGGCTGTAAAGGAGGAGGGGGGAGAATTGCACAGCCAGAGCTGGAAGATCCTGTTAGTGGAACCTTACACCGAAGTAGCATTAGCTCATCTGGTCGGGTTTCCTGTCTAGTCTACTGATTAAGGCCGACACAAACCTGCAGCCCTGGGATTTCCTGCTGGTCTCCTTCCCAAGGTTGAAGCGGGTTTATGCTGTTCTAGACAAACCTGGGCAGTTTCTAGGCCTACATAAGGACGAGGAGATTATTCCTTTCCTCAGTGTAGCTCGGCCGGGAGAGCCCCAACCCTGCTGACTCCTGGGCAAGGCCCTTGTCTGGGGGTTTCCCCAGGGAGGGACAAAGGCCAGGAGCCTTTGGGTAGCAGCCCCTGGCCAGGCCAAGACCTCCCCTGCCCTTCCTCTCCTCTCCACAAGAGGCCAATGTCCACCATAAAACGTGCATACAAAAAAAATGCTTTCGATATTTCAAATAAATCGTCTTTCGTTTTGGGACTGTGGCTTGAGGCTCATGATTTAATTGGAGTAACTGCCGGAATCCTGACAGCCCATTTAGTTCCAACCCTACCGAGTTCTGAACTGTATCACTGGTTTCGTTTTACTATGGATCGTTCAACCAGCTTGGACTCCTGGCCTCCCCTCTCGTGCCATTTTTAAGAGCCGACGCTTGAGTTGGGAGCCCCAGCGGGACGGCCACGCAGCCGAAGCAGAGCCCCTTCCAAAGAGGCCGCCTTGCTGGAAGGCTGCAAGGTTTCGGGCCTTGCTCCGCCAGAATTCCCGCGGGAGAGAAAACGTACCTTTCATGGCTTCGGCAGATTGTATGAGCTCCGTCACAGCCGCCGCAACCCCCTTGGACAAGGCAGCCAGCAGGTGCTTCAGCTCGGCGCTGGGCTTCTGCAGGATCTGTGGGCACGGAGCCGGGGGGGGGGGGAGAGACGTATTCGCCAAAGTGGCTTCCTTCGCACCTCCCCCTTTCTTCCCCTGTAAAATCTCCCTCCTCTGGATCTGGCCCAGCCAAAACCAGGCGTCGCGCAGGCAGCACGAAACACCTAACCCCCCCCGCTCCCCCCCCCGATGCCAACGCAGAGCAGCATCCTCGGCAGGGCGGGGCGAAGGGGCTCCTTACCATCAGGACGTGTTCCAGGAGCTGCAGGTACGCCAAGGTGCACTCCGTGCCATAATGCAGGGCTCTCATCCGCACGTCTCCGCTGACATCCGGGTGGTAGGAGGCTTGCTGTGGGGCACAACATGGAGCCCTTCGGAGGGAGCCAAAGCCCCCGGCAGGGACGGGGAGCCACGGAGAAAGGTGCCCGCCCGGGGGGGGGGGCTTTGCGCAGCCTTGGGCACAGAAAGCGCTCAGAAAGGGGCCACCTTCCTCCGTAGCCGACGCTCAACTGATTTTGGGGGGGGGTTCCCAGTCCTCCATGCTCCCCAAGAAATGAGCATTCCCCTCCCAGCCCCCCCCCTCCCCCTGCAGGGGCGTTTCCCCTCCCAGGTGCCAAAGAGCCACCTTCCGCCGGAGGCCTTGAGAACCGAATCCGAAACGCTGCGTTGGGCTTTTGAGACCCCGAAGGGACTGAGGAGGTGAACTGTGTCTTCGGGTTGCCAGTCAAGATCCCCCCAGGGGCGGATCGGAGCCCCTCAGGCGAGGGAGATGCTCTGGGCCTGTGGGCTGCAGGAGGAGATGCCCCCCCCCGTCCCGGGTCCCCCCCCCCCCCCCCCCCCGAGAGCAAAGCCTGGCCAGAAGCGGCCGTTCAGCTGGTGAGCTTTGACCTCTGGCCTGCAGCTCGCACTCCCCGTCTCTTGGCCGGGGTGGGATGGAGTCCTTCCCAGGGTGGGGGCTGCTCCCAGTCTGTCTTTTACTCCCCATTCCCCCCCCCCAAACAAACCTCTTTGGGTCCTTGAGATGCCCCCACAATCACTGGTTCAGGCTCAAAACAAGAGATTCTGCCTCCAGTCACCTCACACTTAGACTCAAGCAACACACCCGCTTCCATACACCCCCAGCCAGCCTCTGAATCACCGCGTAGCCCCGCTTGTGTGGGCTCCCCAAAATAACCTTAATTGACTCCTCCAAACCCTCCACCCGTTTCTTTGCGGGCATCGCTTAAGCTCAAGAAGACGAGTCCGGTGGGGCATGGAGCCCCCCCCGCCGCCGCCTTGTGCCCTGAATTGGGGGTGGGAGGGCGGCTGGGGGGGGGAGTCGGCTGCCCTCTCTCCCCATCCCCGTCCCCAAAGAGGCCTCCGGTCTCCAGGAACTGGTCCAGCCCCCTTGAAAAGCTGCCCCAAACAAAACCACCTGGGAAACGAGGCGAACGCTTCTTCAACGCAACACACGGGACCCCCGGACGTGTTTTGGAGGCGCCCCCCCCCTTCACGCCTTTCTGGAGCCCCGAGCAAGGAGAAGCCCTCGGGGGGGTTCACCTTGCAGGCGGCCAGCATGTCGGCCACGGCTTTGCGGCTGAGGTTGGCCGTGGCGATCACATCCTCCTGCCGGCAGGAGTTCCCGGCTGCCACGGCTTTGGCCGTTGCCATGGTGATGCCTTTTGTCATCCGAATGGATTCTTCCGGGGAGCAGGACTTCTCGGGAACATCCTTGGACTGGAACACCTGCAGACACGGGGGGAGGCGAGGGGGGGGGGAAAGGTAAGGCCCTGGAAATGCCAGGAAGCAGCCGGGGAGGCTCAACGCAAAGGGGGCCCTGGGAGGCCCCGATGGGCAAGGCAAGGACTCCGGCGCCCATCCCCCCCCTGAAGAAAGCCAGCCCGGAGCTGCCAGGGGGGAACGGAGACCCTTCCTCTCCAAGGGCGGCCACACTGAGGCAGAGCTCTGAGCAAGGAGCCAGGGAAATGGTGGGGGGGGGGGGGTTGTGGCGGCTCCAAGCTGCTCTGCTCCCTGACCCAATTAGAGGGAAGGACAGAAAAGCAGAGCCCTCCCCCTCCCCACCCCCCCACGAAGCGGCCCCTGCTTGGACTACCGTGAGCTCCTGCTTGATGTACTCTATGGTGGCCTCCAGGGCCCTTGTCCCACGGGTGGCCTCGTCCTCCACGGCCTTCACCGTCTTCAGGAGGGAGGTGACGTTGGTCACCATCACCTGGAAGGAAGCAAGGAAGGAAGGAAGGAAGGAAGGAAGGAAGGAAGGAAGGAAGGAA